AAAGGTAAAAAAATAATAATTCGAATGCTTGTTTAAAAGAAAGTTTGGTCGACTTTGCATGATCAATGAAATTAGAAATTGAGCATTGGATGACAAAGAAGACTGCATTAAGGAGAATCCAAGAGTTCAACGCCTTTTCAATGAACAATTTTCTTTGTTGAGAATACTTTTCTCGTTTACTCTCCTGCAATGTATGAGTTTAGCATACTTTTATTGCTTTTTTGTTAAATTTTTTGCAAAGACATTCATTTTGTTCCAAAAAAATTCTTTGACCAGAATAAAATTTAAGAAATATGAGTGTCAAGATTTAGAAATGAGGTAAAAAATTATATGAAGGGGAATTGAGGTGATCACTCATTGCTTTTAAGGTCAGCTTGAAAAAAAAACACGGGCGTTAACAAAAATTTGATGACAACAATTCCTTTTTTCTCTATGGGCAAATCATATATAGTCACTAAATTCGAATCACACTGTTATTTTATATTTTGTTCAAGAAATCAATCATGGATTCAAACGAATGTAAAAATATTATAGATCAATTATTTATATCATGATAAGGATGAAAAATAAATATTGAGGTAACATTGTAGATCAATTATTCAGATAGGATTTGTTGTAAAATTTGGAAAAATTTGAAAATTTATAAAAAAAAAGGGTAAAACTATAATTAGCCACTACGGTACGAATTGAAAACCTGATTTTTCATAGAACTCGGATGAAGAAATGAATCTCACCGTTGGATTCGTCTTGCGAAATCTATTTACCTGGTCAATTTTCGTTGAATTCCGAGACAAACGAATTTTTCATATTTTACGATGCGATCAAGTGTCGAATGACCAAAATAAATGCGATCGGGTTTTAATTGCGAAACATAAAAAATAATTTAAAATTAGTTCAAATATAATATGTTGAACATAACACGAGACGATATTTAATTGATTTGGGATAAAATCGGATTAGGAAAAGACGTGACGTGTGGTGTGTTGTTGGCCAAGTATTCTAGGGGTATATAAAGGGAAAAAAATCACCTCTATTTTGACCGCTGATTTTTGATAGATAGAGAGAGAAAGAGAGAGAGAGAGAGAGAGAGAGAGAAAAGAAAGGGAAATTCAAGAGTTCTTCCTCATTCTCCTTGTGATCTAGGGTCAATCATTCGTCAGAACGCTTCGGGCCAAGAACTAAAGTTGATCTACACAATAAGAACTACATCTGCGTACTAAAAATCACTGATTTCACCGAAGTCTCAAGATGGAGATTTTAGAAATTAAGGTTTGAAACTTGATTTAGATTCTTGGAATTTTCTACAACTTGTATTATGTTTCAAGAGGTAGAGTTTTTCTCCTAGATAGGTTTTTTTCAACATAGGGTTTTATATGAAATAGGTAACATGATTTGAAATAAAATCTTTTATCTAAATGTATTTCTAGTGCAACTTGAGTATGAGAAATGATATGAAAATGAACAAAATCAATTTTGCCTGAATTGAGTTTGTTGAGAATTGTTTATTGGGTGATTTCATGAGAATGTGATAAATTGGATATGATTATATGCTTAGATGATTGTGTGCCTTTTTGATGTTTGATAAAATACTTATGATTGATTAAATATGTTATTTGAATAAAATTGATATAATAGGCTTGGTGATGAGGTAAGAACGCAATTATATGCTTTATGGTATAAGTCACATTAAGGATTTGGAATTATTGATGTTGTGTTTATGACATGTTGAACATGATGTTTTAATTGCAATTGAAAACTTGGTTGCATAATGATATGAAATGCAATAGTTCATTGCATTTGCATATGCACGGGAAGCATCGCATTCGTGGGGAGTGCAGGTGTGTGTGCATGTTTTTGGATCAAACACCATTCTTGATGGTTGAGGCGTAGACTCAGGAAGGTTGGATCTAGGTCCGACTGAGTTGCTCGAATTGCATGAAAACTTGTGTAGGGTATATCAACAAGGGCTAGAATCTTCTTCGGGTGCAAAAAGAGTCTAGCCCGATGGTGAAAGTCCAAAAAAGTATATTGGTATACTCAAAAATTTCAATGGTGAAAGTCCAAACAAGTGTATTGGTATACTCGAAACTGGAGGTGGGATACCAAAATCAATGTCAGTGTGGTGGACCGTTGGTGCTAGTTTAGGAAATCACTTACCCAAGAAAGACACATGGTTCATTTTATAAAATATTCAATGGATATACAACATCAATGGTAGGGGTTTAGAATGTCTGAGTATATACGCATGACATTGCATGTGTTATGAGAGTCGGTGAAGGCTCGAATTGTGTCGTATGTGTGAGTCTTATCTCATAACATGAAATGACATTGTGAATGCCATTATGAATTGTATATTTTCGGATGGATGCTTGTTTAATTGTTGAATTGCATGTGAACATTTCATATGCATCTAGGTTAGGAGGTAGCCTCTTTAGGAGATATTTTATTGAGCTTGACTCACCCTTTATAGGTAACATTTCAGGCATGGGACAAGCGCCGGTGGATGACCCTTACATGGTTCCTTGTTGATGAAGAAAGCCGAGTTATAATTTTAAATTATATTTTTGTAAAACAATTGTGTAATTAATTTTGGACTTGTAATGTTGTCTAAAAGATTACATATTAAACTCATATGTACTATATTTTGTGTAAAATTAGATGTTATATAAGTTTGGGTAAATGTTGTATAAGATTGGGTAAGTTGAAATTGAAAAATGATGAATTAGGAAAAAACTGGACCTTCCTAACAGTAGCACGTTAATTAGCTATTGGAAGCAAAATTCCAGTGGGCACAACTACTGGTAGCTAGGTTCACAGCCACTAGTAATTTGTTGGCAGAGGGTTCAGCTATCGGTAGCAAGTACATGAGCTAACAGTAGCTCTTGTAAAATTTTAAAAAATTTAAAATAACTTTGTCATACCATTAGGCCTTGAGTACTTTTGTTTAAGGGATGTAAATGGAGTAATATTAATGAAAAATTGATGGATATGAGACCTTAAAACAGTTAAGTGATTATATGCATAAAGGGTTTTGCATTTGGGAGTGCTCCTATACAAGGGAGACTGTCCAAACTCTATGTTGGTTATGATTCCGGTGAAGAGGATATGATGACATAGTGTCGGGTCATACGGCATACACGGGTATTTTTATGGATTGATGGGTGATCAACGGGTTGAGAAAGGACCCTTAGATTTAGGGGCGTCACATTTGTATTCATCATCTAAACTTTTTTTTTTTATGTATACAAGAGAGAAGTATACAGAAAATACAACTTAAATTCGTCACTCTCTTTCTCCTCCAAGATTTCTATCTCTAGGAATCACCATCTCGAATGATTCTGGGTGCTTAGGGGACTCTAGTAGCCCTCTTTTCTACATATTATCAAGGTTGCTAACAACCAATGATCTTCCAAATAGCATGGATAGAAGCAAGGCTCGTAAAGCAAGTTAATTGGATCTGATTTTGCACGTCAGGAGGTAACTCGTGTACAACCTCTATTTTTCATAACACTAACAAATCAAAATTATATGTACATTAAGTTTTCTACACACACACACACACATATATATATATAAAATAATTATAAACAATTATTCCCTTTAAGATTGAGAGTTTATAATTCATCCATGACATAGGTATTTTCTTGCGGTAATTCGTGGCCAAACTAAGTAATAAATGGTTTTCTTATTCTAGGAACTAATGGACTAAACTTTCCTTTCTCTGCAACAAAAAATAAAATTACATGTTAAAAGTTGAATTTACATCATTTTTTTTTCGCTTCCCCAGTTCTATCACTCCCCAATTCCATAATAGAGGCATGAACTATTTATAAATCATCCAACCATGAAAGCATACTAAAATAACCATAAAATACAGAAGCCATTCATCATTTAACTACTAACCAAACTAAAATCTCAAATCAAATATAATTGAATCCTTCAAGTTACATCTAATTCAAATCAAATATATTTGATGAGCTTTTCTAGTAGGGACAACTTCTCATGAGTTCTTCACCAAAACAACACCAGATCCCACCAAAGCCACCAGATTTAGTTCAAAAGCCACAACCTTCCCTTGCATCACTTTTCAAAAATCATCCCCAACCAGTTTTGGATGACAATACAACAACTAAGCTTGATAAACCAGTGGTATTTTATGAAGGGGAGCCAGCTTTTTACTTCACAATGAGGAGGTAAAAGACTCATCTCAATCTTTGCAATATGTTTTGATCGGTAAATGTTCCTATGGTAGACCTTCTCTAGGTGTGATTAAGGAGGTCATAAGATCCAAATGGCATCTCAAAGGGGATTTTGAATTGGGTTCGCTTGATCAAAGGCATATTCTTATCAGGATTCAACTTCAAGAAGACTAAGTCAAGACTTGGTTAAAGGATGCAACGTTGATTGAGGATTACTTGTTCTATTTCTTCAAGTGGTTCTCAGGTTTTGTACTAGGGATAGAGCCTTCTATAGTGCCCATGTGGATCTCTTTACCAGGGTTAACATTGAACTTCTTCAAGAAGAATGTTTTAGACGTCCTAACCAAGCCTATAGGGAGAGTTTTGGCATATGATCAAGCCACATTATCCTTGTCACGTCCTAGAGTTGCTAGGGTATGTGTGGAGGTCAATCTATTGGCTTACAATCCATCTTGCATATGGTTAGACACGGGTGATGAAGGGGCTCGTTGGCAAAGAATTGTATATGAAAGAAACAAGCAGTACTGCAAAGCTTGCAGAAAGCAAGGCCATGGCGAGGAAGAATGTCAAAAAAGGAAGGTGCATGTGAAATCGAAGAAGACAAAAGGAAATGATTTACTTTCTAAAGAAGAGGAGGTCACTAAGGCAATTTTCGGGAGCACAATAGGAAAGCTTGGACAACAAAATATTGAGAATGTTGGACAGAGAAAGTTTCCCCCTCAGTGAAAACATAAAAATATAGCACATCAAACAAAGAGTGTTTGGAAACTGCAATCTAAGAAGAATCAAATCGAAAGTGAAATGGAAACTTTGGATATGGCTCAAAAAGAAACATTAGTTGTGATGTATAAAACAATTGAAGTGGATGGCGTAATTAAAGTAATGAAAAAAGGCGAACATTCGGGGAAAGATACTTGCACAGACTGCACTCAAGAAGGCAATAATTCGGATTTGGAAAGAAATAATCCTTCCGAGGATAGGGAGCCAATCAATCTGCATGATACAGTGGAAGAGAATCAAGTGACGGATAAGGAAGCAATTGTTGCAACTATGGAGAAAAGGAATGATCAACAAGGTGGTATTGTTCTAAAAGAAGGTCAGTGTCTGTTGAATAAACAAGGTGGTTTGGATAGTCATTCTACCCTCTTAGTGGACCGTGATTATGTTTGCGCTGAGAACTTTGGGGGTCTCTTTAGATAATGAAATGGGTTTATACAGTACTAAGGAACCTCTTGATAAGGGTTTCCACTCTGAGGAGGATGTTGTTGGAAGTCTGGAATGTAGTGAAGTGGAGTCTCTTAATTCAGATAATGATGAGTCCTTGTCCTTGATTCAGGTTATGTCGGATTATGGTCCTTGTTCTTTGATTAAATCTTTGTCAGTGGATGTTGCGTGGAAGTCCATTACTCAAGAAATGGTGGCATAAGTTCACAAGAATATTCATAGTCAAGGGATATTATCCCAAACATGTAAAGAGAAGAGATTCACAAAGCTTTAAAGCTAAAGAGAATGTGTTCCAAGGATGACTATATTAAAGAGTCTTCTCTTCATAGAGGTTTTTACTCGGATGGTGAGGAGGAGACTTTGGCTTGAAAAGATGATTTTTATTCTTTTATGGCATCGTCCAAAAATTTACTGTCAATACTCAATAAGATTGAGCTAAAGATGAAGAGAAAAGAATATGAGCTAGGTGCTTTAGCATTGATGTTGAAAAATATCCCAGCTGTGAAAAAATCAGCAATAATGACTAGGTCCAAATTCAAGCTAGCCTTCAAAATTCCAAAGCAAAAGAATACATACGGATTTAGGCGTTAAATGGAGGATTTTCAGCTACTTCATGGAAGATTTTTAGGAATTTTTATTCTCTTTTAATCCTTTTGAAAGGCATGCAGGCGTTGGAAATACTCCTCTTTTCGGTGGACTCTTCTTCAGCAGCAGCCTTGAAGCAATTTACTCACTACTTATCTGCTCAAACAGATAACTTACAGCTTATCTCCTTTCTCGGTTGGACTCTTGCAGCAACGTTCAATTGCATTTTTTAAATCCAAATGCAGAATACTTGGGTAGCTTCTAAGTTTGATTTCCACATCACAGGACTCTATCAGCAGGGATCAGCGAATTTAAACACTAGCTGGACTCTTCTGTGTCATACTTTAGCTACATCAATGACGATGGAGGTTCAGCTGGAATTTGCTTCAACTACTATGGGCTCCATGTCAGCTGGACTGCTTGGGCAGTTACAAGTAGCTGCACACCCAAATTAGCTGGACACTATTAATTTCAAAGGCATCAAGCGTAGGACAATTTTATTTAATTATTTATTGAACTAAGCATATATTTTTGCTTTCTTTTATTTTATTACTCCATGTAACTAGATTGCATCGAGGGGTAAGGTAAATACATTTCCCCTAGGTGTAATTTTATTTTGAATCAATAAAACTTTCTTGTACCGTCGAGGTTATATANCCCCCTAGGTGTAATTTTTATTTTGAATCTGTTGGAGTATAGATAGTCTAGGTTTATTAGGATTTCTTTTCCCTTTTNTCCCCTAGGTGTAATTTTATTTTGAATCAATAAAACTTTCTTGTACCGTCGAGGTTATATATATAAACAAAAAGTTACATTTAATCCCAAAGTAATCATTCTCCAACCATTAGTTAAAGCAAAACATTCATAGCATGATTAAACCATTAAGTTGAAAACTTAAAAACTAAAGAAAGTATCTCTAAGCCTTCAAGTCTGGATCAACATCCTAATCCATCTTAGCATCCAAATCTACTCACTCACGTAGCTTGGGTTCCTCCTCAATACCGAAATCTGAAAGATATTTATGGTAGGTTAAACAATAAATCCTAATAGGAAAACCATCTCAAACCCAAACAAGGTTTTGAAATCATCAAAAAAAGATAAGTCTGACTTTGTACAATAACATATAAAAATTTGAAATAAAATAGTGATAATTAATAAGATTGCAAGTTTACGGTACAAACAATAAAGTTCATGAAGAAATACAATCAGTTCTCAAGTCATATGTCATCACAATCAATATATTTCATGTACGCATGTTGACTACTTTGAATCTATACATCAAGAATATCATAGTCCACACACACACATCCAAATCATCAATCCAATCCTTGCAAGGATAAACCATTTTCAAGAAATACGTATACCAAAGTGTCGACATTGTCCTAACTTCCTAGGAATAATATACTAACCCTCTGCCTTGATTACCGTGGGCAAATAGTGAATTCTTTAACATCACAATGAACCAAGCAATTCTACTACAAGTGTTAGGAAACTTTTAAACCTCTCAAAGTAAGAAATTTATCTAACCACTCTTCGATAAATGGTCAAATTCAACACAAGTTTAGCACACCACCTATACAAGAGATATATTCCATAATTTACTATAAATCTCATATAATCAAGAATCATAGTTCCACAACTTTCCATNCGTGGAAGTCCATTACTCAAGAAATGGTGGCATAAGTTCACAAGAATATTCATAGTCAAGGGGATATTATCCCAAACATGTCAAGAGAAGAGATTCACAAAACTTTAAAGCTAAAGAGAATATGTTTCAAGGATGACTATATTAAGGAGTCTTCTCTTCACAGAGGTTTTTACTCCGATGGTGAGGAGGAGACTTTGGCTCGAAAAGATGATTTTTATTCTTTTATGGCATCGTCCAAAAATTTACTGTCAATACTCAATAAGATTGAGCTAAAGACAAAGAGAAAAGAATATGAGCTAGGTGCTTTAGCATTGATGTTGAAAAATATCCCAGCTGTGAAAAAATCAGCAATAATGACTAGTTCCAAATCCAAGCTAGCCTTCAAAATTCCAAAGCAAAAGAATACATACGGATTTAGGCGTTAAATGGAGGATTTTCAGCTACTTCATGGAAGATTTTTAGGAATTTTTATTCTCTTTTAATCCTTTTGAAAGGCATGCAGGCGTTGGAAATACTCCTCTTTTCGGTGGACTCTTCTTCAGCAGCAGCCTTGAAGCAATTTACTCACTACTTATCTGCTCAAACAGATAACTTACAGCTTATCTCCTTTCTCGGTTGGACTCTTGCAGCAACGTTCAATTGCATTTTTTAAATCCAAATGCAGAATACTTGGGTAGCTTCTAAGCATTGATTTCCACATCACAGGACTCTATCAGCAGGGATCAGCGAATTTAAACACTAGCTGGACTCTTCTGTGTCATACTTTAGCTACATCAATGACGATGGAGGGTCAGCTGGAATTTGCTTCAACTACTATGGGCTCCATGTCAGCTGGACTGCTTGGGCAGTTACAAGTAGCTGCACACCCAAATTAGCTGGACACTATTAATTTCAAAGGCATCAAGCGTAGGACAATTTTATTTAATTATTTATTGAACTAAGCATATATTTTTGCTTTCTTTTATTTTATTACTCCATGTAACTAGATTGCATCGAGGGGTAAGGTAAATACATTTCCCCTAGGTGTAATTTTTATTTTGAATCTGTTGGAGTATAGATAGTCTAGGTTTATTAGGATTTCTTTTCCCTTTTTTACCCTTACTATGATTTTTATATTTTGCCTATATATACGGGGTTTTACTCTTAATTTGAGTATCTCCTTTTACTCACAATTATTTCAAGTTGGTATCAGAGCAAGGTTAGGGTTTGGGGTAGGGTTAGTGTATGGCTCTACCAGCCATACCGCCGAAACCACCNTATGTCAAGAATTAACTTGTCTATAGTTGATTCGTGATTGTACAAAGCACTTTTAGCTTTGTTAGATGCATTCAATCATTCAATATACAATGGGAAGATAAACCATTAAACATAAATGAAATACACAAATATAACTTCTGAACAATAATTTACATCTCCATCACCTCTTATAAAAGAGTGAATGAGAAACTATTTACTCTTCATGGCTTTGAGGAAGTTAGAAAAGTGAGTGAATCTCATACCTCCAAGTAGAGGAACTTATAATTACAAGTTAACGTTTACCAAAAAAATATGCTTATCTCCGACAAAAAATGAGTGAAACACTACCAACCCTTGAAAGTCACTAGAGAGCAAGAAAGGTGAGAGAGGTTCAATCCTCTAAGTTAAAAAAGAAGCTTTACAATGGAAGCTAATGAAATTAATGATGAAAGTAGAAGAAGACTAATGACTTTTTGGAGGGTTTTTCCACTTCCAAAAGAGATATCTAAGCAAGCTCCAAGGAATGATATTTATAGGCAAAGGAGGGGGAAAAATACAGACCTAGGTTCTTAAAGTCCAATCCTATGATAGAAAATCAGTGTGGAAATCTAATTTGCATGCATTCTATTAGGGATTGATGTTCTAAGGGTACTTGACATTCGAACATCAAAGCATTTCTTCTCTAAAGTGTGTTCAAGCGCTACTGGTGTTCGAATGTGGTCATTAATGTAGCCTTGACATCAATAGTAAGCAGCCTCGTATCATCTCCCTAGCATTCCCCTAGAGATCTTCAATGATTTCAATGTTACATTCAAACGTGAAAGTGTCGTTCAAATGTGGAAGCAAAGTCCACTTTTTCATGTAGCTTGTTTCTTCCTTCTTAACTCTCTTTTAAATCACATGTGTGCTACTTGGAAAAGTGACATTATTGCCCTTAAACCCTTGTACCTCATTTATCTTGAAACATTATTATTTAAGCACAGTTAAGACATAATCAATCTCATAAAGGCATAATAAGATGTAATTTTTAATTGTGCATCACCCCCCCCCCCAACGTGCATATTGCTAGTTCCAACCAATATAAAACATCTAAATGGAATTATATTTATAATTCCATTTTCGTAGGTCATACGGTTGCATTTAGTATATGTAATAAGTCATTAAACCATAGGTCTCCCCTAGTGGACGAGTGTTGTCCTGTGAAGGTTTTTAGTGAAGCTACCCAAAAACTTCAGTTAAATAGATATGTATATGTAAGATTTCTTATTAGAGTGAGTTAGCGCCATGATCATTGAGACTCTCAACCCTCAATTTCAAATTGTTTCCCAACACTTCTCATTCATAGGTACATACTCTATGCAAAAAAAAAAAACACTTGTTACATTTGCATTTGAAATACCCTATATGAAGAATAATCATTCCAGTGACAAGAATCATCATATAATAAACATTCTTCTTTACAACCTTCCATGAGTAGCTTCGATTTCACAAACCTTTCTTGAAATGCCCTCAGCAAGAATTCCCTACGACTTTAGTGACTTTCTCTCAAATAGGCATTTTAGTAGAAGAAGATTGATCAATCACGATTTTTTTTTCACATTCAACAAAACAATGGGGGAGTGGAATGGAGGAATGCTTGGCATAATCTCATGGAAGAATATTAATACATATAAAGCAATGCTATTAAAATACCCCAAATTATTGCAATAAGAGTATCCATCTTAACAGTCATGGCCTGCATCTTTTTTGTGAGCAAATACTTCAACGCTGTATGATTAGTAAAAACAATGACAGAAGAACCAACTAGATAAGAACAAAATTTTTCTAGAGCAAAAATCACAACAAGCAATTCTTTTTAAGTTGTGGAATAATTTATTTGAGCATCATTCAGATTCTTGCTTGCATAGTAGATCACATAAGGTTTTTTACCCTTTCTTTGACCCAACACTACTCCTACGGCATAATCATTTGCATCGTATATCAATTCAAAGAGCAACGTCCAGTCAGTAGATTGCATTATTGGAGCAGAGATTAATATACCCTTAAGCTTATCAAAATCTTGTTGGCATTCCTCAGTCCATATGAAAGTTACATCCTGACTTAGGAGATGACACATGGGTTTTGATATGGTAAAAAAATCTTTGATGAATCTCCTGTAAAGCCCTACATGCCCTAGAAATGATAAGACATCTTTAACAGTTTTAGAAGCAGGAAAATTACCTATCAGATCTATTTTTCCTTTGTTAACTTTTATGCCTTGTGATTAAAAAATATGACCCAAAACAATGCAATATTTTACTATGAAATGACATTTTTCCCAATTAAGTATTAGATTGGTCTCCTTACATCTTATCAAAAAAATTTCTAGGTTAGTTAAACATAATTCAAATGAATCTCCACATACAAAAAAATCATCCATGAATACTTCCAAAAATCTTTCAACTATGTCACTAAACAAACTCAACATGTATCTTTGAAATGTTGCAAGAGTGTTACAAAGTCCAAACGGCGTCCTTTTAAATGCAAAAGTACCAAACGGGCATGTGAATATTGGTTCCTCTTGGTCATCAAGTGCTATCTTAATTTGATTGTACCCAGAATACCCATCTAGGAAACAATAAAATGTATGACATGCAATCCTTTCTAAGACTTGATCGAGAAAGGGAAGAGGTAAATGGTCCTTTCTTGTCACCGAATTGAGCTTTCAGTAGTCTATGCACATTCGTCATCCTGTAATAACTTGGGTAGATACCAACTCATTGGCATCATTTTTAACTATTGAGACCCCAGAATTCTTGGGCACAACATGTTTTAGGCTAACCCATTTACTATCAAAGATGAGGAAGATGATTCCTGCATCTAATAGTTTGCGTATCTCAGTTCGTACAACTTCCTTCATATGGGGGTTCAATCGACGCTGCATTTGACGAGAGTGTTTTACATCTTTCTCGAGGTATACAACATGATTAAAAATTAATGGATTTACACCTTTCAAATCAGCAATGGTCCACCCAATGGTACTCTTATGACGTTTAAGAACTTCTATAAGCTTGGACTCTTGTAAATTTGCAAGCTTGGATGAAATGACTACTGGATAAGACTCATTCTCCCCTAAAAATGCGTATTTTAAGTCAGATGGGAAAGGTTTCAATTCACGCTTTAGTGGCTTGACACTAGATGAGTGGCTTTGTACCACTTGGGGTCAATTATTCAGATTTAGGTATCCATGTCTCGATAGCATGATCAGGGTAACTCTTTAATTCCTTGACTAGACTCTAACAGTCATCTTCTACTGTTCATATGCTAAAAACTCAATGAAATTCACTTCTCTCATTTCTTTTTCCTCATCTGGATGCTTAGCAATGTTGAAAATATTTAGCTCAAGAGTCATATTCCTGAAAGTCAATTTCATGACCTCATTCCTGCAATTGATTAATGCACTTGAAGTTGCTAGGAAATGACGACCAAGAATGACGAAAATTTGATTCTGTAAATGTATTGCTGGTTGAGTATCCAAGATAATGAAGTCGACCGGAAAAAAGAAGTTGTCCACTTGAACAAGGACATCTTCAACAATACCCCTTGGAACTTTGATAGACCTATCTGTCAATTGTAGTGTGACATGTGGGTTTGAGTTCACCCAAACCTAGTTGTTGGTAGACTAAGAAAGGGAGTAAGTTGACACTGGCTTCAAGATCAAACAATGTTTGTTCTATCCTGAAATTCTTGATGATACATGACACTGTGAAACACCCCGGATTCTTTTATTTTGGAGGGGTTTTGTGTTCGAGATGACACTGGCTTGTTCAGTTAAGCAGGCCATTTTTTGAACATTTTGACTTCTTTTGATTGTGCACAAATCCGTTAGAAACTTGGCATAATAGGGAACTTGCTTGATACATCCAGAAGTGGTATATTGAGTTTTACTTGCTTAAAAAGCTCATAAAGTTCTGCATGGTTGTTCAACTTCTGTGTTTTCTTGAATCTTAGACAAAATGGAGTAGGAATGAGACATAGTGGTCATGGCTCTTTATCCTCTCTAGTTTAGTCTCATCTGGAGAGACTTGTGCAGGTTGTAACATAGGTGTGGTCGCATTGAGTGGTGATCGTTTGATGATTTTGCCAATGACTTTACCACTTCTTAGAGTAGTGATGACTTGAACTTGCATTTATGGAGATTCCATGGTAGAAGGGTTACCCACCTAATATTGACCTTGTGGCTGTTTGGTTGTTTAGGTTGTGTGGTCATTGACTGGGTCAAATTTTGGATATAAATTTTGAGATCCTTGAACGATTGAGTGGTCTAGGTTTTGAATTTATTGAAATTCTGAGTAGAATGAATGTTTTAGTTCATTTGGTTTTGCATAAACTAATTTAATGTGTCCTCAAGACTTCTCTTATGTGGTGGTTGGTATGGTGATACGCAGGAGGCCTTTCAGGTGGTGGTTGTGACCTTTGTTATGGGTTTATAGGAGGTTGTTGTGTGTTCCTCTAGCTGAAATTTGAGCGATTTCAGCACCCTGAATTGTAAGTTTTGGGATAAGGGTTGGAATAGGGCTTGCTAAAATTGAAAATATTATTAGTCGACTCTAAAAAAACTTCCTTAAGTTCAGGGATG